AGCAACACAAGAAAGTTAGTAGATTCAGCTGTATATGTAAAGCCTTTAACTAAAAGCCCCACCACATCAAAAGTGCTCACTTTAACATGGTTTTCCATCAGAAGCCCAAGGAATTGGTCGGCTATAAACAACTTTAAATTTTATCCATGGTTTGACCTGCAATCCCTGTTTGTTACATTTGGATTTTACTTCATTTTTAATTAAAAACTAAATAATACAAACTGTACATGTAGGATAACTGCAGTTTCCTGTAATATATTAGCTTTGAATTAAATCAAAAAATAGATTATTGGAGCTGAACACCAAAGCGTATTTCAATTACAATGGATGTTAAAATACTGTATCGAGTGGAAAAAAATTACCATGGTAAAAATCATCACCAGTTATCAAAAGTTATATCTAAGTCATTTTTGCAAGGTCAAAAAACTTTGCTCTAAATATTTCTTTATGCTCATTTTTTTAATGAGTGCACCAATTATATCAATATTAATATTTTGAAATATATTAATTCATACTAACATTGGGCACATTTTAGCTGTGATTCACTATTTTCAAAATTCAACAAACTTGGCAAGATTTGATCTGATAACTAAATGATTATCTAGTTGTTGGCTTAACATTAGAAGCTAATCACCTGGAACTAAACTGCTCTTTAATCCTTAGCTGTCACGTGTGCCTGTCTGTGTTAACTACATGAATCAGATTCACATCATTTCACCAGTGTTGCTTTAAAACAGCAGACAGACTGATTATACCACAGTGTTATATGTGCAAAGAGCCAAAAAGATGAATGATACTCTTAACTGGGGTGGTTGAAAGGGTCAAAGTGCATGTGGTAGCTGGCATTCATTTTATGGCAGCAATACTGGAGCAGATTTACTTAGATGACGTCAGTGGCTCTGAGCCAGCTTTTCCTTTCTCGTGCCACTTTCCACTGGCCTCGGTGGTCCCTGCTACAACTGCTGCGTAGCAGTGTGTACTTTGAGATGCAGGTTCTACACTACGTTTACCTAAGGGCCAAACATTGTGGAGGACTGCAGGAAAGTTTATGTGACTTGGAAAACTAGATGCTGGCAAATCATTTAGTCACACAGTTAAAGATTTTCTCTTACAATTCAAATGAGCACAAACTGGATCTTTCATAGCAAATAAAAGCATTGTGCATCATTTCAATTCCAGTTTTGTGGAAAATGATCAAATTATACCAAAGGTAAGCACAATTGTTTTCCAGAGGTATTTATACAAATTTTAAAGCCTTTCTAGTTGTCCGGTTTGAATGTTTTCTTTTCTAAAATAGTGGTTATTTGACCTTTGTTTTAGAATACAAACTTTTCCTGTTCTTTCTTATCAATGAGAACTATTGTTCTTGTTTCATTTTATTGTACGTCCAAAACATTCAGAAAATAGAATTAAAACAAGTAGATTCCTATGCACCTCAATATGCACCAACAAAGTATCCTTAATCATTATCAACAGCTCTTCATGAATGGCAGTGACATTTTTTCTCACATAGGTATTCCATGAAAGGATCAACATGTCTTTGCCTAAGCTTTTTAGAATTTTAGATAAGGGGTTTATTGATCTTAGTGCTTATTTGTTTCATTTTTGATGATGATACA